ATATAATTTGCATTCTGTTCTTTCGCTAAAAGGGGGTGGAGATAAATCTCGTAAGTCGTTCGAAATCACGCAAATTGCCAAACTGAATCTGATAATCCTGCGTGGTTTACGGTTACGATCGATTTTTACACGAGCCGAGGAATATTTATTTATTTATTCTTTTTTTCTTAACATTATCCTTTCCCCTCTTCGACCAATCGAATATTTATTTTTATTTAACTTTATCTTTTTCTCTTTCTCTCTTTTTCTGTCTTCGTTCGAGAGAGGGGGGGATTATCTTCGAACCATGTGGGACAGGTATTTTCAGAAGATAATTCTGATAAGAAACCAAGTTCTTGCTGTGCTCGTCACCTTTAAGATTTTAATAAAAACCGAGTTTATGGAAACTATTATTAAATAAAAGCAGATTGGTGGCACGATTTCGTTCGTTTCATTCGCGATATTTTTTTTTTTTTTACAAGGCAAGCACGACAAGTGGACGTTATTATATCCCTGTTTTTTCGAAATCGAAACCGTGGCCGAACTTATATTTCAATTTGGGCAAAGCTCTGTTTAAAGAGGAGAAACATTCTTTATTTACTTAAAGAGAGATCATAAGTGTTCTCGAAACGATTGGGAATATCGAGGTGATTAAAATGTTACCTGTTTATCCTGTTTTTTTTTATTCAGAAATTCAGAAAAATTCGTTTAAGACAAATTATAAAATTGTTGGGATCGAATGTAGGAATGTGGTCGGGGAAAAAGTTGATAAGTTTTCATTAAGAGCCGAATATTCTTGATGTTAATTCTAGTCATTTATTGAAATTTACTATATTTGATATGGAATTTATTTTATTTGCAGGTTTTCTCCAGATAAACTTTGTCGGCACATTCTGCGAATTTAAAGGGAAGAATAGTACATAAATTATTTGAAGTTTTTATTAAAAAACAGATATTGTTTGAATAAAATGTAATTGGAAGCATAATATTCTAGCTTTTAAGATTGCCCAATTATCATTAATTTTGAAAAGAAGAAAAATACATGTACACATAAAAAGTATAAATATACTTGTATCGACAATATTTAGATAAAAGATATCGGAAGAAAAGAATTTCTTAAATAAAAGAAACTATAATATTGCTTTTGCTTTTAATTTATTGGTAACTGAAATTTTGAAACAAATGATTGAAACGTGGACGATGAGTATTTTAACTTTTATGAACGGATATAATTACAATTTCAATCGTACTTGCAATTCTCGTAATTCGAGCCGATTAAAACTCAATGTTATGCTTTCTGGAAAATTCACGATATAAATAATATATCATACTCGTGTACGAATAAAAATTGCTCCGTCCGTGTAATTATTTATACTAGAACGAGGGTCTCCATTTCGACGAGCCCCGCTTTCATTTTCGAATTGCAAGCGCGCGCAATTTAAAACGAAGATACGTATCTCACTCTTTCTCTCTCTCTCATTCTCTCCCTCTCTCTCTCTCTCTCTTTTTCCCTTTCTATCCGATTTCGAGAACATAATCGAGCTCGTCGTCATGTTCTTTGGCTTAACGATCTACATATTTCGAGAATATTCTCTCAAGATTCCGATATTTGGCGATAATTGCACATCCAATAAAGAAGGAAAATGGTCCCTTTTCCTTCGATCAGGCGATGATCTTAGCAAAACAAAAAAAAAAAAAGAAAATGTTTTTTTTTTCTTCTTTCGTTGTATTAAATCGAAACAATATTAACTCTCGTTGCTTCTTTATCGTTCAATTTAACATGCTACACGGAGACAGAGCCGAATCGCGAAATTGAAACCAGTCCCACGGCATGCCACTGCCACGACGACCTCGACGTCTTACGTAGAACAACTTTCTAACAATGTAACGTACGTATATAAAATATATTAATACGATTACTCGAACGAGAACTCAGTTAAATAAATAATTATTAAAAAAAATATAATATAATATAATATAATAATAATAATAATAATAATAATAATTAATAATTAATAATTAATAATAATAATAAAACGAACGTACAAAATGATTACACGTCGAGAGTATTTTTTTTTTTTTTTATGTACAACCGATATCGGTGAGTATCGAAAGGATTGGGATGTTAGTAGACCACTATTAGTGGATTCTTAAATAATTATAGAATAATTAACGGCATTAAATAAACGTTATATCGAGAGGAATTCGAATTCGTTCACACGATCTTCGATTTAAATAATAAGAAAGTAATAAATATTGAATACGAATAAATTGTTTCTTTTTTTTAAACTTTAGAATTGCTGCAAAGAAGAATTGTGCAATACTTAATTGACTTATTTAGCTTCTATGATTTTTGTACTATTTAAAATTCTTATTTAAATTCTATCGACTTATTTAAAATTAAAATTTTATTTATAAAAAATAATAAAATGGATATTTAGCTATTATAAATTTATATAATTTTTATACGTGGTATAATATTTGTTATTCCAACTTTTAAGTGGAACGTCGATACGATTCTTTCCTAAAAATAAGAAAAATAGAGAAGAACGGATTTTATTGAATTTTATTTTATTGAACGGATGAATATGATCGAAGTTCGATGATCGTCACGAATTCCATAAGTATTTCAAAGAATGTTTAAATAAATCTTAATAAAAAAAAGTAAGGTTAACGAATGATTAGCTCGATGATTAATGAAATTCATTAAATCATCGTATGAAAGAAAAGGTTAGAAAAAAAAAAAAAAAAGGGGAAGAGAATGGAGGAGAGGAAAAAATACAGGGGAATCTCTTCGAGTAACTTAATGGACGGCTCACGTGAGCCGCCATTATACTTATATCATCTAAAGTGAAACTTACATGCTAGATCGTTCATGGAACATACAACGTTTAATATATCATAGATATATGGGACCAAAATCACCAGAACCAGCCACGTAAATGTTCCAGCCTCGAGCCATCCACGATTGCCATTTTTCTATCTTACGTTCCTTTTTTTTTCCTTTTTCTTTTTTTAAACTTTTTACCTTTTTCTTTTCCTTTCTTTTTTTCTTTTCCTTTTTCGAAGAGACTTTATTGCCTTTCCTATCGAGAAAAGGAAGAGCCTGATCGCTTATCCTAGGACGAATCGATCGTGCGTCGATCGTTTCACGCCGCGCGAGCAAAATTTTCCGCTCCGCTCGCCGCGCAATGTTGTACGCATCCTCAAAAGGGCGCATATCAGATTGGCGGGGTTTTTAAATCGAGCACCGGACGATTGTCGGATTTACTAATATCAAAGAAGGCACTTTTAAATGATTTTGAATACCTAAAGTTATTTAGAAGAATATTTTGTATACGTTTAGTATCAAAAATATCTATCTGTTGATGTATATATATATATGTATATATAATTTTAAAAATATTTAATATATATAAAATAGACGATCATTCTCTTTTTATGTATAAATAGTAAAGTTTGTTTTCATATAAAATAGTATTGCTTTATGAATATTATAAATATTACAGCACCAGACATAAATATTTTTTCTAAAAAGAGAAAAATTTTAAATTAATAAAAATTAATTTAGAATAATCCACGAAAAATTATAAATACACACAAAGATAATCTGACTAAATAAATAAATATTCTCAAGAACCTTACACAAACGATATATTATCTATACTCTACAATTTCCTCCATTTGGATTTCTATAAAAATATATACCAAAGTATTCAAGGATCTCTCTGATTCTCTCCACACGATCTTCTTCGAAAAATAAAGGAAAAAATAAAAAAAAAAGGGAAAAGAAGATGAAAATGGCGGGACGAGTCAAGCAGCAACGAATAGTTCCGCGCGCTGGATCGTCCATCTATCGCGGATCGGATGCAGCTCGAGGCTTTGGCGACCGGCGCTGGTAAGCAATCGTGAGAATAGAGAGGAAAGAGTAGTTTCTTCCCTTTTCTCCAACGAAATCTCCGCTGACTCGCTTCTTCCTCGTTGTTATTCCGTCCTCGAACAACAATAACGTCGGTACCATAACGTTTGCACGCTCGAAACTCGCAGGACGTACCTCCAAACGAGATCTCGAGCGCGTCGATCGTTCCATCTTTCGATCGTCGCTTCGAAAAGAGAAAAAACAAAAAATATATATATATATATGTATACATATAAATGTATACATATATATATATACACATCGCGTGTAAACGTAATGACACGTTTACGTGCATCGATAACGCGCTGATGACAGTACAACGGTATATAATACCGATTTAATACCGACACTAGCACGTTAAAACGTTTTATAACATTACGGTTAGTGGATCGTTAACAACATTGCAGTAATATTACTGATATCATGGGGAAATATAGTAATAATACTAACAGCATTATCGTACTCATATCGTTATCATTACGTTAGTAGAATATTAAGTGTTAGTACGTGCCATAATATACTTTATGGTGGTGATGGTTAATCGGTGTCTATACGTTGACGCACGATTATTTTCCATTAAAAAAAAAAAAGAAGAGAAAAATCAATCTTCGTGTGTAAAAAAAAAAAGAAGAAGAAGAAACTCTCTAAGTAGAGAATTAAAAAAAAAATGAAATAAAGCGTGACGATCGAAAGACGCGAAAATCGACCGGGCAAACGTTCCAACATGCGCAATGATAATCGGGGATGAATCGTGGATTACGAAACGTGGAGGAGTCACTTAATTTTTACCGGGTAATCGTTTATGTTACAACAACAAGAAATAGTTTATCGGGATAGAAATTAGTGAAAAAAAAGGCGTGTAAAAGATGGGGGAGAGGGAAGAAAATTGGGGGAGGAAGGAAGGAGGGGATTCGCCCAAAACGGGCGTACTTAGTGGTACCCACCTGTGTCGCGATTATGTATTATCCTTTCATGAGATAATACAGTGGACACGGTGGATCGTTATTTTTTTTCTTTTTTCTTTTTTTTTTTTTTTTTT